CGAACAACACACACCTATACCCATACGGGGGACGGAGGGGCCTATGGGTACGTAGTATTCAATAAGAAGCCCCGCTCGAACGGGAGCCTCCCCTGGGGTCCGACAGCCCGCACCCATACCCATAGCCAGCCATCTTCTTTTGTACATCCTTAAGGGTATGGATGTGTGTTGTTCGTTCGTCCAAATATGTGGTGCAATCTATGTAGTGCGAGCTGTGTGGTTGTGTGGTGCAATGTGAGTGGTGCGGTGCATCCGTTGCGGTCTATGTGGTGTGAGCCATGTGGTGCAAGCTCTGTGGTGTAGTCTAAGTGGCGTGAGCCATGCGGAGTAAGCTGTGTCGCGCATTCTATCTTTCATGAGCTACGAGGTGTACGCTACGTGGTGCAATCGTTCTCTCAGAACTTGAAGTTGTCAACTCCACTGCTCGCACAATCATCTCACCCTCCCACCCGCATCTTGTGTTGCACAACCCATGCGGCCGCCATTGCGGTGACGAATTGGCAATAGCTGGCGCATCTCTGGGGGCTACGCAAGCACGCAAGCTCGCGCGCAGAGCGGCCAGCTGACTTGGCACAACTGGTGCGGCCGCGATGGCGCTTACCGATTGGAACTTCCCAGCGCGTCTGAAAGCCGCGCTGGCGCGCGGGCTTTTCAGTGCGGGTCGGTGACCCTGTCAGGCGCGGTATCATGATGATGTCGACAGCGGTGGCAACGATGATGGTATCAGCGATGGTGGTGGCCATGATGACGATGACGGCGGCGAGGACAATGACGGCGCCGATGCTGGTGACAACGAAGATGGTAATATACATGTTTCGGTGACACAGGTCGTTGACCGATGATGGCGGCAGTGGCGGCGGCTGATGGTGACGATGACGTGATGCGGCGGCGCTGATGAGGGTGATGGTGAGGAATTGCGCGCGCTCGCGAAAAAGCACGCAGGGAACCTGGCAAATCTTCTGTTGGAGAGTATTCTATATCTGTATGTTCGAAGAGCTCTAGCTTGAAACGCGTCGAAAACCAATGATTTTTGAAGAATTTCGACATGCGCCTGTAGCGATGCACACGTGTTGCCCGCATTGTCTCATTTGATGCGGATTCGCATGTTTGGCGTATTCGAGGTCAACGCGGATGCATCATCGCGCGGGGGGATGAGAATCGTTTTCTGGACGAGATGTCCAGCAAGTGCGAGGGCTGTGCAAAGCCTAATGATTTGTCTTGCTCTGATGTTGCAATGCGTGTGCAATTAGCATGTTTGTTAAGACTTCGAGATGTGTGGGCTCGTGTAGACTTCGTTTTTTGATCAACAAGAGTCTTGAACCATGGTTTTTTGAGGTAAGCGAGTGCGCACGCAAAGTCTTACTTGACAGGGACGAGGGGCGATGCCGGCCGCCCTGGGGTAGTATGAACGGATATGGGAAATGAGCGTCGAGGCATGATTCTATGTCATCTCCAGTGTCCCATGGGGGGCGATAAGTCTGGACTCGGGGGGACGGGGTAGCGGAGAACTGCGGTGCGAGCTAAGCCGCGTGAGCTGTGTAGTGTCTAGACGATGCTGGGCCCACGAGGCGGCCACGGGCGGCCGCGTGGCGACACCTCGCCGGACCCTCCCCAGCGCACGAGGCGGCCACGAGGCGGCCACCGGCGGCAGCGTGGCGGAACCTCGCCGGACCCTCCCGGCGCACGTGGCGGCCACGAGGCGGCCACGGGCGGCAACGTGGCGGAACCTTTCCGGACCCAGGAAGCGCACGGCTCGGCACGTGGCGGCCTCGTGTGACAACGTGGGCAATCGTCGCCGGACCCTCAGCGGCTCAAGCGAGAGGCCCTAAGTGCAGGCACTGTTTTGGGGAGCAGTTGTGCTCGATGTACACTGAAACGGTTCTGGGCGCTCTCGCCTCGGCGCCAGTGACACTGTCTTTGAAGCCGAGGCTCCCGCTTGAGCGCGGGATTGGGGACGAATGTGTGCCATTGGAGGCCCAATTGCGACGGCAGCTGATCCCGCTTGATATTTCTTTGCAATTTGCTCCGAGACGTCCTGGCCAGGGAGGGCTAAAAAGTCAGGAACGGCGCTCTCGCTCGAGAAGTCCGCGTACTTGAGCCAAGTTGTTGGAGGCTCATCTACGACGACAGCGGCCCCCTCTCGATACTTCCTCATCATCGACTCCGAGACGCTCTGGTCATCTGCATTATCGAACTGAGGAATTGCGCCCTCGCCTGAGGCGTCCTCGCAGGTCTTCCAATTTTGCGAAAACCCAGTCAAGACGACAATGACTCCCGGCCAATGGCCCCTTCACAGTGCACTTTGAGACGCCCCAGAGGCCCCCAAACTCAGGAACGGGGCTGTCTACCGAGATTTCCACGTACTTCACTCGAGTTGGTGACTTGCCCGCGGGCGCATCAGCCCGCATGACGGCAGCGTCGGCGCGGTGCGCACACAGAGTGCATTGCCGAACGTTTCTCCAAAGAGCATCCATGAAGAGAGCCCACCGTGTAAAGGGGTTGGTCCACAGATTTAGTGGGCGGGTGCAAGTGAGAAAGAGAGAGAGAGAGAGAGAGAGAAAGAGAGAGAGAGAGAGACAAACAATTAGGCTGGAGAAGGACCCAAACATGTGCATGTGTGAGTCCCCATTGGGCCAGAAAGCGTGTCAAGGGTGTGCCGAGATGGGTGCGGCGGGCGCGTGCGAACGCAGCCACTGGGGCCTTCGGTGGAGCTCTCTATGGGGCCACGAAGTGTGTGACGGGTGTGCCAAATGGGTGCGGCGGGCGCATGCGAACGCAGCCACTGGGGCCTTCGCCAGAGCTCCCTATGGGGCCACAAAGTGTGTGAGGGGTGTGCCAAATAGGCGCGGTGGACGCATGCGAGCGCAGCCACTGGACCCTTCGGTGGAGTTCCGTATTCGGCCACGAAGCGTGCGAGGGGTGTGCCAACATGGGTTTCGCGGGCGCGTGTGAACGCAACTCCTGGGGCCTTCAGAAGAACTCCCTATGGTGCAGCGAAGCGTGTGAGGGGTGTGTCGACATGGGTTTCGCGGGCGCATGTGAACGCAACCGCTGGGGCCTTCAGAAGAACTCCCTATGGTGCAGCGAAGCGTGTGAGGGGTGTGTCGACATGGGTGCGCCGGGCGCATGCGAGCGCACCCACTGGGGCCTTCGGTGGAGCTCCTTATGGGGCCACGAATCGTGTGAGGGGTGTGCCAACATGGGTGCGGCGGGCGCATGCGAGCGCAGCCGCTGTGGCCTGCAGAAGAGCTCCCTATGGGGCTACAAAACGAGAGAGGGGTGTGCCAAAATGGGTGCAGTGGGCGCATGCGAACGCACCCACTGGGGCCTTCGGTGGAGCTCCCTACAGGGTCTCACGAAACGTGCGGGGGGTGTGCCGAAATGGGTGCGGCGGGCGCATGCGAGCGCAGCCACTGGGGCCTTTTGGATGGAGGATGGAGCTCCCCATGGGGCCACAAAACGTGTGAGGGGTGTGCGGAAATGGGTGCGGCGGGCGCATGCGAACGCACCCACTGGAGCCTTCGATGGAGCTCCCCACGGGGCCACGAAACGTGTGAGGGGTGTGTCGACATGGGTGCGGCGGGCGCATGTGAACGTAACCACTGGGGCCTTCGGTGGAGCTCCCTACGGGGTCTGACGAAACGTGCGAGGGGTGTGCCGACGGGTGTGCCGAAATGGGTGCGGCGGGCGCATGCGCACGCAGCCATTCGAGGCTTGGGTGGAGCTCCCTATGGGGCCACAAAACGTGTGAGGGGTGTGCCGAAATGGGTGCAGCGAGCGCATGCGCACGAGGCCACTGAGGCCTTCGGTGGAGCTCCCTATGGGGCCACGGAGCGTGTGAGGGGTGTGCCAGCATGGGTGCGGCGGGCGCATGCGAACGCACCCACTGGAGCCTTCGGTGGAGCTCCCTACGGGGCCACGAAACGTGTGAGGGGTGCGTCGAAATGGGTGCGGCGGGCGCATGCGAACACGGCCACTGGGGCCTTCGGTGGAGCTCCCTATGGGGCCACGAAACGTGCAAGGGGTGTGCCGAAATGGGCGCGCTGGGCGCATGCGAACGCTGGCATTTTGGCCTTCTGTTGAGCTCCCAACAGGGCCACGAAGCGTGTGAGGGGCGTGCCGGAGTGAGCAGGGGGGACGGGAGGAGGGAAGAGGAGGGGGAGGAGGAAGGAAGGAGGAATGCGGGGACCGTCTCTTCAAAACGAGGACCCAACCCCACATAATGGCTGGGAACAAAACATGAAGGTCGAAGTCGCTTGGTCGATTCGATCACATGCTCGCACGATGGCCTTGGGCTACGTCGCTGACCTAGTCGCCGGTCGTCGTCCTCATCGTCGTCACCGTTGTCGCCGTCTTCCCGCTCAGACGTGAGCGCACGACCGCGGCCCGACGGCGCAGCGGAGCACCCTGCAACCGCCGGAGGTGGGATAAGAGCACGTGCGCGGCCCCCTTTTGCTGGGAGCCACGTGCGGTGGGTTCCGAGAGCAACATCTCGGGTCCGAGGTTTTTTTTTGTTGTTTTATTATTTATTTGTTTTATTATTATTTTTTTTTAAAAAAAATAGGTTAAAAAAAATCTCGGGTCCGAGGTTTGGGGCTCGTCTGTCGCCTGCGCTCCTTCCGCCTCGGAGCCTCTCCGGCACCTGCGCCTCGCCGAGGGCGTGCCCGGGGGTGCCTGGATCGTCCCCGGCGGCCGCCGGAGAGCCGAGTCGTGACCCGAGAGCCAGATGCTCAGAGGGGAATGCATCAGCCGCCCAGTCCCCTAGGGGCCGAATGGCCGACCCCGCCGAGGAACGGGCGGCCTCGCTGTCGGGGCCCATCGCCGATCTATCGGCGATGTGCCGATTCCAGCTCTTTATTTCCCCTCCTGAGCCGGTCCCCACCTCATCGCTGCCCCTGAGCCGATCAAGAGCAGCACCTCGGACAGCATGCGCTCGGCATTGTGCCCCAGAGCTGTGCGAGGGCATGGTAGCACTGCGCGCTCTCCTTCCCCGCTTGCAGGAGCTCCTGGAAGTCCTCCTACGCGGTGGCCGAGATGATGCGGGGGAAGCACACGGACTGGGCCCGTGCGAAGAACGCCGCCAAGCGCATCCGCGACCCGGACCCCGCCCGCGCGCGCCTTGCAGCGGCTCGAGGGTGAGGTAGCCTCCGCTGTGGACCAGCACCCCCGTGCAGCACGCAGGCGCGGCACGGTGCCACCACGGCAAAGCAGCACCGTGTGAATGTCCTTTCCTTTTTCCTTCGGCGGAATCCGAACCGACCTTTGCCGATCATCGAGCCAGGCAAGTCGATGGGCGGCGGGGGGGTTCGGAATTCGTCGAACGCGTGTCAAAATCCAGACTTTACCCCCCCTCCCCCTCCCATCGATTCAGGTGAATCGATGGTTGGTGGGTGCAGGGTTCGGATGTCGCCACCTACCTCCTTCTCCCCGCCCTGCTGCGTAGACATGTGTAAACTTTCGGAGGTCCGCGCGGATTTCTTGGATCTGCGCTGGAACCCACTGGCGTCGCCTCTGACGCCGCCCCTGGCGCGTTCTGCGCGAAACAGAAAGGTGGGGGGGCCCAGCCTCCATTCCAGAAATCCGCGCGGATCTCTGAAAATTAGTTTTTGTACCGGTTTCGGTCCCTCTATCCTGCGCTGCCCTCTTACCCACACCTGCTGCGGTCCAAGCTTACCCAGCATTTCAACCCACTCGTTGCTCGGCGCCCCTCCCCTGTGACTGCGATGGCTTTGCGACGACCTTCTCCTGCCCTGCTCCGGGTTGCAGCTGGCACCCTTCCACGGTGCTCCGTGTGGGCTAATGTCCTCCTTCGTTTCTCTTCGGATGCGGGCGCTGCACGCTGTAGTTGTGGGTAACAGGGGCAACTCGAAGAGGAACAAATTGCATAAACAGTAACTTTCGACGCTCCGCGCGGATTTCTCGGATTTGCGCTGGAGCCCCTCTGGCGAGCCAGGGAGGTGGGTTCCGGCGCGGATCCAAGACATCCGCGCGGACCGTCGAAAGTTCATGTGCTTATGCTGTTGTTCCTTCTTCTGGTGCCCGAGAGGAGGTGGCAGGACCTTCTGCTGCCTTCTGGCCCTGCGTGGCTCCCCGCGGGCGGTTGCGTGTGTCCCTGGGGCATGCTCCATCGAGGCCGCTTCCCTTGCCGGGATTTGCTGCTCGGCTGCGCCTCGTCGAGTGGACCCCGCCGTGGCGTTGCACATGCGGTTGCCGAGCCCAAGTGCGGCAGGAGGAGGAGGAGGAGGAGGAGGAGGAGGAGGAGGAGGAGGAGGACGAGGAGGACGAGGAGGACGAGGAGGACGAGGACGAGGACGAGGACGAGGACGAGGAGGACGAGGAATATCGAGGTTCGAGGATGGAGGTTCGAAGCTCGAGGGGTGTCGCTCGCCTTGCGTCCTCTTGGGGCCGAGGGAGGGCTTGTCTCCACGGCCGGCTTGGATGCCTTCCAAGTTCTTGCCACAGCACACGCCGACACGAACCTACGGTCTTGAGCTCTGCAAGGAGGAGGAGGAGGAGGAGGAGGAGGAGGAGGAGGAGGAGGAGGAGGAGAAACAGGAGGAGCTTCGCGGGGCGAGTGGGTGGGCCGAGCGTCCGTCCCCAGGGCAGTACCCCCCCCTCCCCTCCTCCCCTTCCTCCCTCCCTCCCGTCCCAGGTCCACCGACGCCTGTTCGGGCACCTGCAGGACTCGGTGCTCCCAGGACAAAGTGGGTACGTTCGGGACGTCGGTGATGCTCACCTAGCACTCCACGAGCTCGCCGCGGCAGCGGCGGCGCAAGGACGGCCCTTATGGGTCATCTTCAGTGACCTTCAGAAAGCGTTCCCAAGAACGTGGCGGGAAGGCCTACTACACCGCCTCCGGGAGCACGCGGGTGTCTCGGACGGTTTGCTGGCCCTCCTCCTGGGAAGCATGTTTGAGAAGGACACCGTCCACGTGAACTTCAACGGCGTGGAAACAGTCTCAGTGACCCAGGGGATTGCGGAAGGTGGTACTGTGGGGCCGCTCACCTTCCCCTCGTACATGGACTCGCTTGCCCAGGACTTGCTGTTCGCGGGGTGCGGCGTGGGGGTGGGCATTCGCATGCCGCCGACCTGGTCGGGCCATAGATGGACTGGCACTGGAGAGCCGAACCAGAGTCAGGTGATGCAATTGCTGCACGCGTTGGCAACAAGGGCGCCGCTGCCTCCTCCGAAGGCGCTGCTGCAGGACCCAGCTCTGGAAGCCTCCGCCCTCGCTGCCCTGGACGCCGCCGCCCCCAGGCGGATCGGAGCCCTCCTCCACGCGGACGACCCAGCCCTGCTGGCATCTTCCCGGGGGGGGGCCGGACGGTCCCTCCAGGTCCTAGCCGATTGGGCGTACAGGTGGAAAGCGTCCCCGCACACCAAAGCCTCCAAGCACGCTGTTGTGGTGCATGGCTCCCAGGCTGCGCGAGCGGCTGCCGCCAGCGCCCCCTTTCTTCTGCTGCCGCTGCGCGGCCTCCCGCCGGTGCAGGTCGACCTAGCCCCCAAGCACAGATGGCTTGGCCTTCAGTGGCCTGGTGATCTCCGCCTGCTTGGAGCACTGGAGGCGCGGCTTGCTGTGGCCTCTGCGCAGTGTGCGTCCCTGGCGGGGCACGTGGCGGCAGGTGCTCTCCCTCTGGCCGCTGCGGCGTACATCTTCGACATGGAGATTGACGCCTCCCTGCGTTTCGGGCGCTGGCTCCTGGCCACAGCCGAGGGTGCCCTTGAGCGCTTGGACTCTGCTTACGAAGGGTGGGCCAGGGCGCTCCTGGGGAGCCATCCCTGGCGTGATGGCGCTGTAGCAGTCTCAGAGCTAGGTTGGTCGCTCTCCGGTGGAGCACGGGCCATCCTTGACATCGCCTCCCGCAGAGCTGGTCTGTGGCTCCTTCCGGACGGAGACCTCTACAAGGGGACGTTTGTGCACGGCCATGTATCTCCAGGGCGCACCTGGGCGATTGTCTCGCTGGCGCTGTTGGAAGAGTGGGGTCTGCCGGACTGGCCCGCCTGGGTCGGCGCTGCAAGGGGGGAGTCCGCCCTCCCGGCGTACAAAGCACACATCCGAGACACCCTCAAGGCCAGATGCAGCGCAGCCCTACGCCTACGACTGCACACGCGGGTCCGAGTGCCCGCCCCGCTTTCGCTCGGCCCAGTGCCCCGGGATGACCTTTCCACAGCGCTCTCTCTGCGCCTGCCCAGCACGGCCCTCTTCGGCCAGCGCTCCCTCAGTCGGCTCCGGTGCCAGCTCCTTGTCTTGAGCCACTCAGCAGGAGTCCGCTCGAGGGCCCGACGGCAGGTCTGTGTCTGCTGTCAGGGGCAGATTCTCAGCCCCATGCTGCATGTCCTGGGGAGCTGCAGCAACACTGGCGTGGCGAGAGCGGCATTCTGGGCAGCGCGCGGCTCCCCGCCTCCGCCGTCCAGGGAAGCAGCGGTCCGCGAGATCCTCTCGGTCCGCCCAGGGGAGGCCGGATTCGCGGAGGCAGCCACCCTCGCCAGAGACATTGACCTCGCTGTGTCGAGGTTCTGGGGCCCAGTGGCGGACTAAAAGCTCGCCTTTCCTCCGCTCGGCCCGTCCTCCTTGCCTGCGTCCCACCTCCTCTCCCTCCCTCCGGAGCCGGAGGGTCGGGCAGAGCCAGGCTGGGCACGCTGAGGTTCAGGTGGATTGGCCCCTCCCCCCTCCTCTCCCTGGGAATGGCTCTCCCCCCCTTCCTTCCGACGCCGCGCCACGCATCTGCGCCATGCACTGGCAGGGCCTCGGTCGGAAGGTCATGCAAGAGCTCCAATCGGAGAGGCCCTCCGGCTCTCCTCCGATTGGCCAATTCCCCCTCCACGGCCAGGCTTTTCTCCGACCCCCCACTTCCGAAGACGGGACGGTGCTGGGGAGGGCGGGGCCTGTAGCCCAGCTCCACCCACTCCTCCCCCTTCAGAATGCGGAGGCGGACTCAAGCTTGGTCGGCGTGGGGTCGCGCACGACGGCCCTCCCGGGCCCCAGGCGCCCCCCACGAAAAGGCGGCCACGCATGAGGCCTCCGACCGCCTCCTCTGGAGGACCAGTCCAGTCCTCCCTCCCGTCCCATGTCCCCCCCTCCCCTCCCCGTCCTCCTCCCCGCCCTCGCCCCCCCCCCGCGCGCGCGCGCCGCCGCCGCCCAGGAGTACCACGTGGGCATGTTCTTCGAGGACTGCCGGGCGGCGTTCCCGGAGCTCCAGCTCTACCAGGCGCGGCCCGCCCGCGCCGCCCCGCGGCGCAGAGGGGCGCCTCCGAGGCACCGCGGGGCCCCGGCGCCGCCCGCTGCTTCGCACAGCACGGGCGGTCCTCGCCCGGCGCCGGGCCCCCGTGGCTCGCAGGTCGATGCAGCTCGAGAAGGGCCGCAGAGCAAGCGTGATACACAAAGGCTCGGATTGAAAGCGCACGTGTGTTCTTTTTTTTATCACACCCGTTGTTCCTCACATCTGCTCTTTAGCGCATGGTTTGTATCGCACCTGTTCGGTGCGGTCGAGGACTCGGGCTGGGTGTTTTTGTTCACCTGTGCTGCGCGGGTTGCGCGGCGTCGGATCTCGGGGAGGCGCCTCGGCCCTCGGGGCGGGGGCGCCGCGGCCGGGCTGTGGCGCTTTGCAGTCGAAGGCTTTGGGACGAGGCCCACTTTAGTTTCGAAAGGGGCTTCGATGCTCTTCAAGTCCTCCCACGGGACTTCCGCCCGCGTTCCTCGCGCACTTGGGACTATACCCCGCCTCCTCTTCCCAGGGACTTGGGACTATACCCCACCCTACCCCACCTACTTGGGACTGTACCCCACTATACCGCACTTGGGACTATCCATTTCGATCCAGTCGGGCCGATTCGATGTTGATCCTGGCTGGCCCTCTCCGATTCGATTGCGATATTCCGACGATCCGATGTGGCCCGATACCTGCGTGGCGCTGTTGTGCATTTTGACGCCGCCTATCCGACTTGATTCTGGCCTCTTGACAAGTCGGACTGATCCGACGCACACTTCGATTCGATTCCTAGGTCACCCGTGGGGCCGCGAAGCCAGCGAGATGATATGGGAGGCTCCTGTGAGTTGCTGCAGGAGGCTCGGATCAGGCCGGCTCGGACTACAAGACTCTGACCAGGCCCAGATCCCCTCGCATCGTGAAACGAAAACATGGTAGAAGCCAGTTTATACGGGCATCTGGTGGTCCTTGCCAGGCCTGGGGACCGTCAACACGACTCAGGATGTTTAGACCAACTTATATTTGGAATTGGCGTTGGTATCTCCCTTGTCGGAAACCAGCCTGATCTCGCTGAATCCGCGTCATCCAACTTAGTCCGGTTTATTCTCGCTGAATCCATGGCTTAGCCCTGCCTGATGTGACTCAACCGCCGTTGAATCGCCAGTAATCGTTTTGACGAAGACTTCCCAAAGCAGGACTCCCAATGGATGAGAAGCTGGCCGCCGGAAAGGAGTTCCGACCTCTGGGGGTCCACGCTGCAACAAAAACAAGCACGGCGCAGGGGGTCTGGGCAGTAGTCCGAAGCGGGAATTTATGCATGACCACCGCCTGGAGGGTCAGTTTTCGGAGCCTCGGCAGGCGGTGGATATGGACATGTTCGGGCCCCCGGGGGCCGAAATATATCCATGTTCACCGCCCGAGAGGGCACCAGGACGTCGGTTCCCAGGCAGTGGATGTGGATGACTCCCCGCCTCGCAAGCAGGGGCAGCGCCTCCCGAAGCGATGGCGGCGCCAGACCAGACGGAGGCCGAGAGGCAGCTCGAGAAGGAGCGTGCGGCTGCGCTGGACGCCGCGCGTGGGGCGGGCGGGGACGCGAACTTCCTGGGCGCCGTCGAGGAGCCGAAGGCCGCGGGGAAGGCTCCCGTGGAGACGGACCCGGTGAAGCTGAAGGAGCTCGAGCAGGAGCAGGCCGAGAAGGCGAGGGAGAGGGAGCTCGAGTGCATCCGCGCCTCAAACGGGTCGTGAGGTACGAGCTGGGCCTGCGCATGCCGAAGCGCGTGCACGTGTTGTGCAGGAGCCGCCGAAGGCAAAGGGGCTCGTCACGGTCGGAGCTGCGGCGGGCTGCGCTGCGCGGTAGCGGCCTGCGCCTGTTTCTCGAATTCCCACCAGGCCTCACCGTCCGGTTCTGCTTTTCAAGGGCGGCCGCCTCTCAGGCGAGGATCTAGGCCTCTAGGCCAGGGAGCCATTTCGTGGCCTGGGCTCGCTGCGGCCAGAAAAGAGATCCTTCGTCCCTTCGCTGGCATTCCTCATGGCACAGGATGGCTGCATCGTGGTCCTGGTGGCGTTCCCGACGAGGGAACTGCTTGCGTGACGCGCGACGCGGTCTCCTGCAGTGGGAGGCGTGGTGGTCGGTTCCTCCTCGCGGAGTCCTTGGGGCGGACAGTCGGAAGCTGAAAGCAGGACTGCAATTGTGGAGGCAGGACTGTAACTGTGGAGACTTAACTGCCACTGGAGCAGGGAGCAGCACACTTCGGCCTACAGCCTGGTGGCCCCACAAGGGGGCCGGTGGATTTTTCAATTGAAGTGCCCTCTTGGGGCTCGCATCTGCGTTTTGTTCCCAACCCTCCTGTGTGTGCTGGGTTCTCGTTTTGACTAGAGCATTGCGGTCGCACACCTTCTCCTTCACCCAGCCCCTCCTCCTCCCCTCTCTTCCTGCCTCCTCCTGCGCTGCTCCCTGGGTGGCTGCGACCTGTGCAACTGTCGCAACTTGCGTAGGCCCCTGGGAGGCACGGCGGAGTAAAGGGAGTAAACGGACCCTTTGAGACCTCGCAGCTGCTTGGGTGGCTGCGAACTGTGCAACTGTCTCCACTTTCGTTGACTCCTGGGAGACACGGCTGAGTCGGGGAGTACACGGACCATTTGAGACCTCGCAGTTCTTTAGGTGGCTGTGAATATGCAGCTGTAGCCACGGCGGCTATGAGTACATGGCGTTGACTGGTGCATCTTTGCGGCCGCGCTATCCCGTGCATGCTTGCGCGCAGAGCGGCCAGCTAGGTTCGCGCGACCGACGCGGCCGCGGTGGCGCTGACCGCTGGGCACGTCCCAGCGGGCATGTCAGTGCGAGTCGGTGACTTGGGCTGGCGCGGTATCATGGCGACGCCGACAACAGTAGACACGATTATGAACATAGCGATGGTGACGACGGTGGCGACGACTACGGCACGGCCAATGACGGCGCCGATGTTCATCTCGCCCGCCGGTAACGATGACGATATCTTTGCGTCGGCGATGAAGGTTTTTGAAGGAGTTCGACATGCGCGCGCGGCCGACGCGTGCGATCGGCCCGCATCGTATTTTTTGACACGGATCGTGCCCCCCCAACCCAGCACGCGCGTAAGGGCGCTCGAATAAGTTCGACATGCGGCGCGAATGTGATGAAATCAAGTTGGGAAATCGACGATGTTTTTAAGGAGCCCGCCTGAGCGCGAACGCAGGGTTCTTGGACAACGGATGTTGCAAAACAGTATGTTGTTATATGTTTTCGGGACACTCGATTTTGATTTTTCCCAACCCTCCTTGGTTGGGTATTCGTTTTGAATAGAGCAGTGTGGTCGCGTCCCTTCTCCCGCCTCCCGCCTCCCGCCTCTTCCTGTCTTGCCCGCGGGGGGCTGCGATCTGTGAAACTGTCGCCATTTTCGAGGCCTGCTGGGGGGCCCAGTACAGTGAGGGTAATCGCGGCAGATCCAAATTAGACCTCGCCCTCCCTGGGGGGCTGCGATCTGTGAAACTGTCGCCACTTTCGAGGCCTGCTGGGGGGTCCAGCATAGAGGGTAATCGCGGCAGATTCAAATTAGACCTCGCCATCCCTGGGGGGGGGGCTGCGATCTGTGAAACTGTCGCCACTTTCGAGGCCTGCTGGGGGGTCCAGCATAGAGGGTAATCGCGGCAGATCCAAATTAGACCTCGCCCTCCCTGGGGGGCTGCGATCTGTGAAACTGTCGCCACTTTCGAGGCCTGCTGGGGGGTCCAGCATAGAGGGTAATCGCGGCAGATTCAAATTAGACCTCGCCATCCCTGGGGGGATGCGATCTGCGAAACTGTCGCCATTTTCGAGGCCTGCTGGGGGGCCCAGCACAATGAGGGCCACGCGCGGATTCAAATTAGACCTCGCCATCCCTGGGGGGCTGCGATCTGCGAAACTGTCGCCATTTTCGAGGCCTGCTGGGGGGCCCAGCACAGTGAGGGCCACGCGCGGATTCAAATTAGACCTCGCCATCCCTGGGGGGCTGCGATCTGCGAAACTGTCGCCATTTTCGAGGCCTGCTGGGGGGCCCAGCACAGTGAGGGCCACGATTCAAATTAGACCTCGCCATCCCTGGGGGGCTGCGATCTGCGAAACTGTCGCCAAATTAGACCTCGCCATCCCTGGGGGGCTGCGATCTGCGAAACTGTCGCCATTTTCGAGGCCTGAGCCACGCGCGCGGATTCAAATTAGACCTCGCCATCCCTGGGGGGCTGCGATCTGCGAAACTGTCGCCATTTTCGAGGCCTGCTGGGGGGCCCAGCACAGTGAGGGCCACGCGCGGATTCAAATTAGACCTCGCCATCCCTGGGGGGCTGCGATCTGCGAAACTGTCGCCATTTTCGAGGCCTGCTGGGGGGCCCAGCACAGTGAGGGCCACGCGCGGATTCAAATTAGACCTCGCCATCCCTGGGGGGCTGCGATCTGCGAAACTGTCGCCATTTTCGAGGCCTGCTGGGGGGCCCAGCACAGTGAGGGCCACGGGCAGATTCAAATGAGACCTCGCCATCCCTGCGGGGCTGCGATCTGTGAACCTGTCGCCACTTTCGAGGCCTGCTGTGATCCCCGTTTTCGAAGTGGCTAGGAGTGCTCAGGAATTGTAAATCATCAGCTTTATCAAGCCCTTTTCCTGTAGCCGGTGTCCTGCGAGTCTCCCGAATTCCGTCTGCAGACATATGTAACCCTCGCTCCGTCATCGCCCCCTTATAAAGTATCCTAAACTATTTGCGCCCCGCTTTTGCGCAGGGGTTGGGTACGTCGCCAGGGTAATTTTTCGACACCGGATGATTTTTGGTCAAGGATTTCGGCATGTGGCATGTGCGCGCGACGACGCGCGCGTGTGCACTTCGCCCCATGCGTTGCGAGGGACAGTTCCGACGGCACGCGCACAGGGATGTTCAAACGATTTCGGCATGCGCGCGACAAGCCAATTTGGAAGCATGTTATGAACTGGTTGAAAACCGATAGTGTTCTGAAGAATTCGCAGAAACGCGGGCGATTTTCTTAAGAAATAACGAATTGCGTGTTGCAGAACCATGATTCGTTTGTACAAAAAGTGTTCGTGACACTTCATTTTCATATGCTTACCAATACGAAGGTTTTTTTTCAGAATTGCGGCATTCGCGCGCGACGACGCGCACGTGTGCATTTTGTGTTTTTTCCCTGTTGCAAAGGATTCGGTTTTTGATGTGGGCATCGCTCATCGTAGTCTTTGCAGAGGATGGCGGGGGGTGGCGATGCAAAGTGGTCTGGGATGGTACGGGCTCATCTTGAGGATGGACGATGGGGCAGAAACATTTGTGAATTACAACACGAAGAAGTGGATCGTTAATTCTGGGGGGATGGTAACATCTATTACTCTGTTCAAAAGGAGAAAGTATGTGGCGGTAGTATGTGTGGTGCAATTTTTGTGGTGGACTCTATATGGTGAAATCCATGCGGTCCAATCTACGTGGTGCAACCTATATGGTGCAACGCACGTGGTGCAATATGCACCTTTTCTTAATATATATATATATATATATGTACACATATATATATACATATATATGTACACACATGGAAAGATCTATGTGGTGCGATCTATGTGGTGCAGTTCGTGTGATGCAGCCTACGTGAAGAAAGCCGGCGCAAAGCAACGTAAAGTAATGCAGCGTTGTGCAGAGCAATGCGTTACAATGCGGTTGCAGTTCAAAGCAACGCTATGCAACGCGCAGCACCCCAAGTCATTGCGATGCAACGCAACGCGTTGTCAAACAATGCGGCGCAATCCAACTCAAGGCAAATCAATGCAACGCAATGCAAAGCAACACAACAACACATCAATGCAACGCAATGCAGTACAATGCAAAGCACTGCGTAGCAGTGCAAAACAGTGCCAAGCAATGCAGGCCCAGTCGCCGAGCGGCGACGAGGTCGCGACGAGGCGGCGACAGCGACCACGGAGCCGCCAGACCGCCACCCAGACCCAGACGACGGGCTGCGACGAGGTGGCGACGTGGCGGCGACGACGACCGCGGATCCGCCAGACCGCCACGCAGGCCCAATTCTTCAGAAGACAAGTTTGAGCCTTTAGGTGCAAGCAATGTTTGGGAAGCAACAGGGAACGGCTTCCTAGTCAAACCGTGATGGTTGGCCCCCGGGAACAGCGGCCCCGCCTTGATTTTACATCGCAATCTATTTGAGATCGCGCCGTCGTTCTGGACTTTCTCACAGTTTACTCCAGAATCGCGCTCTCGCCTAGGACGTCCTTGCAATTCATGAGGGCGCTGCGCCTTCGACGCCTACGAGTCGCGCTCTCGCGCGAAACGTCCTCACAATTTACTCAGGACTCGCGCTCCCGCCTGAGGCACCATGCAATGTAAGAAGCTCGCTTCAACGCCATGCCCGTCCGACCCGCCCGTGCGGGCCCGCCCGCCCAACCCGCCGTCTAAAACTCTGCCCGCCCGATCCGATCTTTAGGGTCCGCCTGTTCGCCTGCTTGGCAGCCCGCCCGCCCGCTTAAATGCCCCATCCGACCAGGTCGCTACGGTCCGCCCGCCCGACCCGCCCGTTTTATTGCCACGCCCGATCCGCCCGTTGGGGTCCGCCCGCCCGGCCCGCCCGTTCGGGCCGACCCGTCTGACCCGCCCGTCGGAGTCCGCTTGCCGACCTTACTGTGCCTCTCTTCTCTCCCTCCCGCTAGATCTTCTTCGCCCTCAGTTATCCTCCCTTCCCCTTGCCCCCATCCCTCCTCGTTTCCTCATTCATTCCTCGCTCTCTTCCTTTTCTGTTTCCTTCCCTCTTCCATGGAGGCTACTTTTTTAGGGTCCGGCGATAGCCCGGGTTATGGGCTCGCCCCCCCCCCCCCCCCCCCAGGATAGCCTAACCTAGCCGGTTGTGCAGGTCCGGGGGGGGGGGCCCACGGAGCTTAGGGAGCGCTGTGTTCAACGGCGCGTCGTTGTTCGCCACACCATGCTGGTGTTCGGATGCACGT